AGAGTTCTAAAGCGTTAGCGATACGACTACTATATAAATAAAAGGAAACTTTTATTTTATTGTAAGGAAAACTTTGGTTTTAACGAAAGAGTTTTTCAGGAAAAAAAATTAGTTCAATTCAATTATGTTATTCCTTTTACTTTTTAAATAAGATTTCAAATCTTTTCGGATAGTTTCGCGGGTTTATTTTTATTTTTGATTCCGAACATTTCCCGACTAGACTAAGGTTTTAGATAACTCAAAAGTTATTTTATAGTTTATAAAGACTGCGTCTACCCACAAAATCATACAATAATTTGGAAGAAATGAGCATATTTTAACGATAAAATAGAAGTTAGCCGAATCTATTCAAGCAGTTTTCAAGTCATGCATTTTGCACATTATTACATGAACAGCATTTTATTTACTCATTTTTAATTGCTTATATTTTAATAAACTTATTTTTACTGTATATTTAATTATAAAAAAATATATATTGAAGCTGTATTTCAAATCTACTGTACACTTATATAATTTATATACTTCCTAAAAATTGTATTGTAATAAAATACGACACGAATAAATGATCCGTTTAATGTAAGAATGGATCTCGGTTACACGAAGTGATTGCCCTGACACCAGCTGTAAGCTATTATTATACAGCAGCAGTTTGTAACATAGGGGGTTTAAAATTTTCAAATAATCTCTAACAAAAAATATTTACTTTGTTTTATTTACTATATTTATTTATTTTCTTAAATTTCAAATGGTAAAAGTAAAACAAAATACCACAAGATAATGTGAAACGATAATTTTATTTATAATATCTTCTTAATGAACTCTACCTAACCTTAAAGTAGTAGCCCAGTGGTAACGTGCTCGCTAGGAAAATCGAGTGTAGCAGATTCAAATTCCGGGTCTGGCACCTCTAATATTTTCACGTACGAATCATCCAAGATGATTACCGCTTGCTTAACGTTGTAGTAAAACATCTTGATGAAATCTGCATGTCTGAGAAAACTTAGAAAGTTTTCGCACTTGGCCATCGTGGTAGACTATGGCCTGATCTTCCTCGTATTGAAGGGAGGCCAGTGCCCAGCAGTGAAACATTAAAAAAAGGGCTGATTAAGTTACCTAACCTTGTCAGTAACTTTAACACATTTAATGAAAAGAAAAAGGTACAAGGTCTTTTCCAATTTAATCTGATTTTCGTAAAAACAATACTGCTACTACTGGGCTGACCAAAATCTATCGTAATGTTTTGTAACCGCATGAAGCCAACGTGAGCGGAATAATTTCATTCAATTTAGCCCAAGGATGAACATCGAGGCATGAGTGTATAAATTCTTGTGTAGTAAAATCCGAAATAACAATATTGTTACCTAATCCAATCCTTTAAATATCTACGTAGTGAAAATACGAAGAAGTTTCGGTTTTTAACCAACTTAGAAAAGAGGTACTCAATTCAATTGTATTTTTAAAGTTATAGTTTGTTTGGCACGTTTGAAAAAAAATATGAGAATAAAATTTTTATGGTGTGTGCGCACTCTGACAGCCAAAAAGCGACATGATGAAGTTAGCTGCACTCTTTTTACAAACAGAGAGTTGTGACTTACGTGATGAAATCTTTAGCTATTTTTGTTTTGTTACGCCAAAGAAGTATAATTTTTTACATAGCGCACATAAGTAAGTACACACACACGTTCTTTTTTAATTATAAATCGGTTCACAAGCGTCCACTATAAGTTTAAAAATAATCCAACTCTAAGCCTAAGTGCACCTTTTTCAGTAAAAAAAAAACATACAGTCGAATTGAGAACCTCCTCCTTTTTGAAGTCGGTTGAAAAATAATACGAGATCCTTACGAGTATAAGGGATTTGGTTGGGATCCTATTACTATCTTTAAAGCTGCTTTTGAATTTTTATGCGCTAAAAATATTTATAAAGTGAATTATTTATTTGAAAGCTCTAATGTTTCATAAAAAAATAAAACAAAAAAAAGAGAGGCTCGGAATAACATATAATATGTTACAGGATTATTCACTATTTTTATTTAAGGGATGATTTCCGGGATAAGATGCATCCTATGTCCATCCCGGGTCTCAAACTATCTTCTTACCAAATTTCATCTAAATCGATTCAGTAGATCCAGAGATAACACCCTACAACGTCACAAACTCACAATTCACGAACTTTACCTTTTTATAATATTAAGTATAGATATATAACGGCCTTAGAAGTGAAATTTTACTTAAAATTTATAATAAAAATGGTTATGAAAATTATTTCACAGTTTCACAATGATATCGTGTAATATACACATAGACTTACATCATATTCATTTGAGTAGTGTTCGTCCAGTGGTCGAAACTCAACCATAATCATTATAAAAAAAGCTGTTTCCAATTTTATTGATAGCACTTAAGCTCTATAGCTACTAAACAAAAAAAAAAGATCGGTAGAAAAACAGAGGAGAAAAGGTATTGAACTGTACTCTCTTTGTCTAATTCTATATAGATTACCCCTTTTTTTGAAGTCGGTAAAAAGCAATCATAGCTTTTACAAAGCTAATTCCTGTGTTTTATAACTTTACAATAAAAAAATTGTTCTCTTTATTTTAAAAAATATATAGTGAACAAAAATAAATCACCCATACACGTTCGCTATTGGCACGGTACATTACGCATATCCATGTGGGTGCGTGCATCGCTGCACTGATTTGATGTCAAACGAGTGTGTTATTTATAGATTATTTATGAGTCGTTAGATCGCGATTCTTACACAGCTTGTAATAATATGCAAAATCATGATTTATTCAAATACTAGCGGCTTACCCTCGGTTCGCTCGGGATCGTCCCTAAGTACCTACTGTTGTAGTATAACGTGTTTAACCATTGAAGTGGGATACTCTCCCGCGGTAAAAAGCCGCGGTAGCCTATCTCACTCTTCAGCCCTCCAACTATCTCCAAACAAAAAAACACGCCAATCCATTACTCTATTTCGGCGTGAAAGAAGGACAAACAAACACACTTTCATATTTATAATATTAAGTATGGATATTTGTCGTTTTCATTGTTTATATGAAAGTTGTTATCCTCTACATATTTTGTTGCACTATTTATTGTTGACTGTTGTGAGCTTCAGTTAATATTTAACTTTTAAACATTTATCCAACTCTTCGACCATAAATTGCACATTAAGTTCATGTATTTATATTTAACTAGCATTGCCCGCGGCTCCGCCCGCGTTCAGATGACCAAAAACTAAATTCTTAGGTTTTACATATAAGTATACTGTTTCAATGCAGTTTTTGTATTATTTCTCAGAAATGAAATATTTTTCCGCGGTAAAAAGTATCCTATATGTTGACCCGGTTAACCAGCTATCATCATACCAAATTTCATCAAAATCAAAACAGACAGACAGACAGACAGACAAAAATTCTAAAAACTATAGATTCGGGCTCTGTATCGATAATAATGTCTATTTCAATTAGATTTTCCAAAAAATATTTAATTTACAGATTCGACTCAGTTACAATTTTATTATATGTATAGATTTGACAAAAAAGACACGGAGTCGATGTCAACAAACCACAACAGCGTCCCCAGACCCAGACCTTCCCCCCCCCCTTCCCCCTTCCCCTTTTTTCATTTCTTATTCATTTTATTGAAATTAAGTATTATTCTACTTGAGGGTAAAGTAATTCATTATTCGTAATTCAACGAAAAGTTGAACTAAATTTTTGCTAATCGTAAATATAATTATATCTATAACTTAATTTGTAAGGTAGCCTATTTCGTTTCAATCACTTTTCGGGGACCGTTTAAAACGTAATTACTACAATAATATTACTAATTCAGAAAAAATAAAAAATAAAAACGCAGAGATGAGAGATATATCATGTTTAACTCCGTGAATAAACATAGGTACATTTGCCTCGTATGTTTCATCTAAACAGGTTGCGCAATTTAGACTAGCTTGACAACTGGCTTTCCTCAAGGCCGCTGATACTTTTTTGACAACGAAATTTTTTAAATAATCTAAAAATGTGTCTATATTTTACAATTCCAAGCTTCCAAAGTAAATATTACTCTTTAGAATTTATTTTCACTTAACAATAACCCACTTAAAAATAAAAAGGAGTATGTAAAATTTTTCAAACTTGATGCAGCGAGAAATAAAGTCATGCAAACTTACCCAATAACTCTTTTTAGTGAGCGGGACAAAGCGACTAATGCTACATAATCCTAGACGCTGAAAAATTAATCACAATCTGAAAAAAGGCAAATTTGAAATTGCTGTGTTCCCAAACTGACTTTTAATGCCGTAACATAAAATTCAATTTACCATAACCAAGTCAACAGCTCGATATGTTTGCAGCTCTAGGGTTTAGACTTTAGTCTTTAGGTACCAGCCAGCTCTGCATTAATTTAAACCGCTTTTCCTAACGTTTTAAAACGAGTGATCCATGAACTTGCTAGCACGTAGTAGCTCAGCCTTGACTTGTACGTTTATTTTGTTTATTTTCACATTTTATTTTACTTTGTACCTGGGCGACTGAGTTTTGCTCGGCGTCTTTCGGAAAAGATAGATTTTTTTATTAATATATATTAAGTATATTTCTTTATTAATAAAATTTATTATTAAGCGATTTTTCAGAAAGTACACTTATATAAACTTAAAAAGCAAAATTTTATCTAAATACAAAATTTGATCCAAATCGTTAGAGCCGTTTCCGAGATAAACGAAATTAAATTATATAGGATATACAAGAATTGCTCATATTATAATATTAAAAAAAATCAAAATAGGTATTCTAATAAAACAGAATTTAACTTCATGAGCAAGAAGTTGATGCTAGATAAATGAGTAGATTTATAAAAGATACTTACACATCAAGCTTTATTTTCATGAAATTAAATCGTTTTAGTCTAAACAAGTTTTTATATTATATAAAATCTATTCCGGTCTAAAAACTTTACATTAGACTTATATTCATTAAATTTTCCTTGTTACAGTTGAAATTCTAAAATCCCGGTCAGCATTGTGGATGTCGGCGGATGGTCACATGGTGCTATATGCGACATTCAATGACTCTCTCGTCCACGAACAAAAGTACCCCTGGTATGGAGCGGCTTTAGAGACGGATGACCCAGCTAAGGTATATATAGCATTTTGTATTATAATAATACAAATTATACATATTTACTTATACATATATATGTATATATGAAATTATCTATGTAATATGTTTGTCATTTATACCTCTTTTTTTTCTCACGCGCGAGAGTTTCTGGTAGAGATCTCTTAAAGAGATAAGTCACCCTTTGTACACAAGGTACTTGTTTCCTTTTTATATGTATATTTTTGTGGTACATAAATAAATATATATTTAATACAAGCGAGTTTTTCTCGCTTGCATCGCTCTAGAGTGTCTAACAGTAGTCTATGTATTACTTGAGTTCATAGTTTTTCTTTGAATTTCATTTAATCTTTTATTTAATCGTGAATGTGTAACAAACATGTACACACATACAAAATTCCACATATATCAGATTATGCAATGTGCATCATTATGATAGCTATGACTTAGTAACTTGGGTGGCAACGCCATATACGCCAGAGGTAGGGAGATCAAATCTCGAATCTTCTAGGTGATTATTTATATTCCGCAAATAGTATGGAATTGACAGTGCCTATATAACAATAAACGTGTAACCAAACTCATGATCCCAATTTCAGAACATTAGAGGCACTGCGAGAGGGCTGTATTATTGATGCTAGTATATAGAATACGATTTAAGGCGTCAAATATTGTAGACGCTCTGTGTATGCTACTTTTAGTTAAAGTATTTTTATTAAGTTTCGGTCTAGCTATGACTATTTATTTTTAGTTTTTCAAGGAAATGAACTGAAGATAAAGGTAAACATAAAAAACTTTTTAACAAAAAAATAAAAACCGACTTCAAACAAAAGCACTAAAAAGTAAAAAATAACTGATTGGTAGTTTTCATTTACTATACATACCTAATCAAATATTTTCGAAGTCGGCGTGCTTTGCTTTGTATGGGCTGGCACCGATTTCGAAAATATTTGATTAGGTATGTATTTAATAGGTAAGCTTTAATTACGTAGCCAAAGCACACCGACTTCGAAAATATTTGATTAGGTATGTATAGTAAATGAAAACTACCAATCAGTTATTTTTTACTTTTTAGTGCTTTTGTTTGAAGTCGGTTTTTATTTTTTTTGTTAAAAAGTTTTTATTTTTCCCTTTTTAGTGTAGACAGTAGTAGCATAGTAAGGATTCTAACGTGTTAGGCTTGTCAAATCAAACAAAAAAAGCCCAAACTCAAAGTATCTACTATTAGCCGTTGAAGAGTTCCACCTATCCACCTTCTGGCCTTGCCATCAGATCAGGTCAACAACACCGAACCACTGTACTATCAACGGAAATAGAAATACTTGCAAAGTTTCAAGTCAATATGACAATTAGAAGTAGGTTAAATTCATCATTAGTTGTTTGTCCACCCTTAGGGGTGGTATTTTTTTTTGAAATTTAAATGGGACCAATCTGGAAGTATACCCTTTCAAACAAAACAAAAATTGTCCAAATCGGTCAATAAATGACGGAGTTCTGAGGTAACAAACATTAAAAAAAAAAAAAAAACATACAGTCGAATTGAGAACCTCCTCCTTTTTGAAGTCGGTTGAAAATTATGATAAGACATAATGCGAGTTGAGTTGAGTGAGTTGCTAAAAGGTGGGCAGTTCGATTTCTTCCCTAGGCATATTTTATATACTTCTTATTATGTTTGTTTTATATATCGATTTCAGAAAATTGAATAACACGACAACAATCTCTATAGTAACCCATGAAAAGTTTTGTAGAAGTTTTTATTTAAGAAACTTAAGTAACGAATAGATTTTCTTCAACATTTTATAAATTCTTTTAATTGTCATTATTTTAGAAAGTTTAAATACAACCATTCGTATAGCTACAGTACCTTTAAAACAGGTGAGTAGACTCTATTATAATATTTGTATAGTTTATGTTATGTCTAGCGAAACAATTGAATTTTACAAAGTAAACGCTCTGTACTAATATTATGCAGGGTTCATGGAGAGAGTATGACCGTAGTGTGCATAAAGAGTTCTTTATTCGGGCTAGATGGAATATAAATTATTATTATTTAAAATTTACTATCTAAAAATAAGCAGCAACAAATCGAAATATAATAACATTAATATAATAATAATACTTTAATTTAAATGTTTATATAATTAATTATAATATAATATTATATTTTTAATACTCATAAATTTTTATATTTTTAAAAATTAGTAAATGCCAAAACAGGTTATTTGATTTTTAACTTGTTAAATATCTAATAAATAAACTTAAATTATGTAACTATAAAAATCAAATACGCTTTTAAAGCATTTAAAATTGGCTTTTTCATCTAACTCTAAACGATATAATCGTTACGTCGCGTCGGCGCGGTTAATCAATTCATAGTTCTTCCTTTCAATATTCCTTTCAATATTCCTTTTAATTTCCGTTTGCTTGAAATATTCCCGAGACGTGCTTTTGTGCTCAAGATTATCAATCTAGTACTACTCGTATACTAGTCGCCCATAGAAAGTGACTTACATTCGTATAACTCGGACAGGGCTCGTCCGGTCTAAAAAGAACTAATTTCGGTTGTGTAATTGTTAATTTAATGCTCGTTCGTTAACCGGTTAATAAAAACGAACGGTTTAGTAAACCGAAATAATAATGATTGAAGGTTATTCTTAGAGAAAGGTTAGACTTTTTTAAATTAGGTATAACTTAGGTTTTGATACCGAAATAAACCGGTTAATTCAATCATAAGAAACGTACATGTATCCTTCTACTAAACAATTCACCATTAGCAAAGATTCAACAAATAAATGTAGGTAAACGCAAAAAAAACTTATTATAATACTTTTTATTCCGGAAATCATCCCTTAAGGGGGTGAAAATGGGGATGAAAGTTTGTATGGGGAATCAAGCTAGAGAAGAACCCGAGCGAAGCGAGGGTGAGTTCCTAGTACCATATAAGTTTTATTTAGTAAATATATTAGTCGAAAAAAATTATATTCCAATTTTTTTACTTATTATTTATTATTTGTTTATTTATTGAAAAGTTGAGTATGGTGTTAAGATGTAACAAATAAATGCACTTTTACAATTACAATATTAGGTCGACGTATGAAGTAAGGTAACCTATCTGACTAACATTTGAATAACTGCTACTACAACTATACATGCGAACATTTTTATGTATATGTGCATCGAAGTCACTTGTATATTTTCATAGTAAATCTAGTAATAACAGGTATAAGCTAAATAGAACTCTTGAAATTCAGAAATTGATATGTAACATTCCTACTCTATGATGCCGAATGGAGTTGCCACTTAAAGCGAAAACTGTTCGCAACGATCTTTCATAATATAAAATGTCTCGCAAGTGCATAGCTTCTACGTAATATGATCGAGTGCTTTTTTTAGATGTAGATTTTGTGATTTTTCAAGACACTTAGAAAACCCTTTTATAAGCAAATATAAAACACCGTGCATGTATGTAAGAAGTTATATTTGAAGGGATTCTATTTAATGAAGTCATTTCTGGTGGCACCAGTTGGCGCCACTGGCGAGTAAGGTACAATGGATGTCGTTGAAAAGTATTTGTTAGTGCGGCAGTGTCAATTTTAATATAGTAATTATAATTGTTAGCGCGAAAATAGTTCTATCAGGATTTTAAATAATTCATCATAACCAAATAAATATAATATTAACTTTTACTTATCTCTTCTTTTAAACCAATAAGATTTATTGTGCGGTACCGAGTCTGCCATAATTAATCAGGAATGGCACAATCTTTACAATAATCATGAACATTAGTGAAAATCCGCGATGAAAAACTCGCAAACAGTAAACATTCAGCGTCATTTGACATTTCTAGAGATCTCACTCTACACTAGTGCCCTCTCGCGGCGAATTCAAGCGTGGTAGCCCTCATTGGGGAGTTTTATATTATTAACTAGCTTCAGTCTCTGAGTGCCTATCATTAGCCTATGTATTCCTGGTTTCTATCTGTGTATTAAGTTTCATCCAAATCGGCCCAGCCGTTTTAACGTGAAAAAGTAACAAACATCCAGGCATATACAAACTTCCTCATTTATTGCGTGTAGTATTTAGTAGACCGATAAGGATTGAAAGAATCGAAATTCGACACTTTTGCCATATTTAAGCTACTAAAGACTTAAATGTTTAACTTTGATAAGCCGATATCGTGAATAAAACCTACCTAAACAAAAACTGAATAGAAAAATGTTTAGGGTGATTACGTATTTTTACTTTCCAACTTATTTTCTTGATTGGAAATAAAATATAACGCTATTTTTTAATATCCTGAGTGACATTGCTAAATGTATAAAAAATTTAGAAACTACACCAATATTTGAAGAGTATAAATAAATATTTATTTATGCTCTTCAAATATATGAGGACCCGCTTGGCTCAGTTTGTAGTGACCCTACTTGCTGTGCCAGAGGTCGCGGGTTCGAGTCCCGCTGGGGGCATTGTTGTGTGATGAGTACGAATGTTTGTACTCCAGTCATGGGTGTCATATTTATGATATATATATATATATATATATATATATATATATATATGTGTTTAAAGTTATATATGTGTAGTGTATCAACTATCTGGTAACCATAAACACAGGCCTCGTAGCTTACTATGGAACTAGATGGTGCTGTGTGTTAATGTCCCAACATATTTATTTATATTTATATATTTTATTTTGTGTCTAAATTGGCTTTATATATTGAGGAAAATTAAAAAAATTAAAATAAATACAGAATATTTTAGGTGGACTATTTTTTATTAGTTATCTATCTAGGTTATAATAATAATGCCCTTCTGATCGATTAGGGCCAAGGTGACCAATCGGTCAGTTTCATTGCGGTTAACTAGCCGCGAGATATTATCACAAGTATCGCCAACAACTTAACTCCGTTACTGAGAATTTCTTGACAAAAAACTCACTTAGTCTGACCTAGGACTCGAATCTAGGACCTACGGATCTGCAACCGTACATGAAAGCCATTATACAAACACGGCAGTCCTAGCTTTTATGGTAAAAATAAATAGGAAAATCACAAACTAAAACAAGATTTTGAATAAAAATATTCTAAAAACACTGTGTATTTTATGAAACTGACGAAGCATTCACCTTTTGCTTTACGTTCCTGATAAAAGATATTTATTATACCAGCTAATCAATTACAACGATATTTTCTCTTTAAATTTCCTCCAAACGTTTCCTTTCACGCGATGTATCGTAATAGAATTATATAACAAATGTTCTAGACACTGTTTCTGTTCGTTTTTTATATGAAGCAATACAGGTATTTTTGAAGTTATACTTCTTTTGGCGCGTTATGAAAAATGAATGATGGCAGTGATTTTTTTACGATGCGACAGATTTAGACTACAGTATTAAGTTAGTCGTTCAAGGTCTGTCTGTAATCATATCTTGCAAGTTAAATTAGATTCACTTCCCAGTGTCCGTTTGACATGAAATGGTACACAGATTTGGTTCTCGTGACTGCATGATTACCTAAATGTCACCATTTTTAATCCAATATTGCGAACGTTACAAAATGACCATTTATCATTTCCATTGTGACCCTTATAATATGGGCAACAAATGAAAAAGCTTGATGAGCGAAACACAATAAGCAAAGTGACGTCATAGTAAGTCCAATATGGCGGACTGTTTTTTTGCACCCCTATGATATGGATATCAAATGAAAGGGTTTGCTGAGAAGAATACGAAAAAAAAATCTAAACCCTAAAAAGTTTCAAAAACAACAACTTATTTTCTTTTACCTTGGGGCCCTTCTCACGTGTCGCTTCTATTTTCCATCTTTTCTCACTGTATTTGATATAGTCATATCAATATCTACATATAAGGTGCTATAATAATATAATGTTTAGCTTTTAGGGCAAGTATTATTAAGTATTTTGATGTGTATTTGATATGTACCTATTTGATTTAAGGAGCCCTTTGGGTTAAAATTTCTTATAGCACTATAGTGTTCTTCTTTGTTTCAATACATTGTTGCGCCCACCTTGCAAAGTAAACTCGGAACTTTCTAAGATACCACTTCCCTTTATTATATTTATATAATATGATTTTGGGTGATTGAAAAATTTCGCTACGTTTTGCAAACCTCACGTTAGTCAAATTAATGCACTGTATGGCAAAAGTACAAATGAATTTAGATAGTACAAGCCCTTGAAATTCATGTAATTAAATTTTAATGTTCATTATATATACATTTATAACATATTGACATTTAATTTAAACTTTAAAAATAGAAAAAGTGACAGTTCAAAAGTGCTTGTAAAAGCCTATTTAAGTAAAGCATATTTTGATTTGATTTAATCTGCATATCTATCTATATCTTAAATATTTTCTACAGACCTATCCAGAAATAAGAAGCGTGCGATACCCAAAGCCCGGTACAAACAATCCTGTGGTCAAACTAACGGTGGCGGACATCGCAGATCCCAAACACATCCGGACGCGGCATCTCACGCCACCCAAAATTATTCTTGAAGAAGGGTAAGTTATAAAACAAACAATCGATACGATCGATATAAACTTTAAATTAAGTATTAAACTTAATTTAAAGTTTATATTTATAGAAAAAATGTAGTAGTATTGTTAGTATTCAGCCCTTTTTAACGTCCAACTGCTGGGCGCGGGCCTCCCTTCAATACGAGGGGAATTAGGTCATAGTCCACCACGCTGGCCAAGTGCGGGTTGGCGGACTTCACATGTCATCACTTTCTTGCTAGGTTCACTAAGACATGCAGGTTTCCTCACGATGTTTTCCTTTACCGCAAGACAAGTGGTAATCAAGTTGAAAATGATTCACACATGAAAATATCAGAGGTGCAAGAACCGGGCATTGAACCCGCTTCACTCGGCTTCAGAAGCGAGCGCGTTACCCCTGGGCTACCACTGCCTGCAAAAATGTGGTGATGAATAATTTATAGTAAAAAATGGAGTCCAAAAATCCAAAACAATAATATTATTTTTTACCGTATAAAAAGACTTTTTTGTAACATAAAGTACTTCATTTTAATTCTTAGTTCGAATGTCACTGCTACTCTTTTATTTTTGTAATTTAACTTCACCGTTGTATGTATAACAAGTTCACATGTGACACCTCTCAAATTACGGCTACATCAAGAGTACCAATAGTCATCGGATAAAAAGGCTGTGACATGAACAAATTACAAGGGTTTTTATTAAGTTTTTATCTTAGATTACAGAAGCTTAAAATTATAAAAAAATATATTTTTAAATAAATTAAATTATTAATTATTATCTTATAAATATAAGTTAAATTATTAATTATTATTAATTATTTTCAAAAAAAATATTCATAGACTTTGACTACTAGGCCTATATTGTATTTTGTGATAGAAATCTTTATATCTATAAAAATACCCTTTTAACACATTTAATGGGCAAATTAGTAAATTATTAAACAAGAAAATGTACAGCCAGGTCTTTGCAATTTCAAAGTTCCGCAAATAGCATCGTATTTTACAAGCCCCGGGGATATCGCGCCCTTGTTCTATACCAATTAAATCCATCCATGCATATATTATGAGTTCTAATAGTCACCCTTGTGGCATAGTAGATTGACTCGATCTACAGTATTACGCAAGATGTAGTGGGTTCAAATTCCTTATAAAGATAATGTTTGTATTTCCCATAAAGTTTTTATTTATCTATACACATTAAAGCGTTATGTGACTCACTGCTAAACACAAAGTTTCGAAAACTATGAAAAACTTCACCTATGAAGGTGAAATTTGGCAGATAGGTAGTTTATAGATGACAAGGAGACATCAGTAAAGAATTTCGTCAGCAGATTTTGCAACAGGGTTGAATTAAAGGGGTCTAAAGACTATCGTAAGTTTATATAAAACTTAAAAGTCCTATGTATTTGCTGCTCGAGGCCTAAAGATGACATGGATGGTGACGATGCGGCCGCGGGCATCGCTAGTTTGTATATTTATATATTTTTTTTGAAAACAAACGGTATTAATAATATATATAGAATAAATATGTAGAATTCATTCACAAAACTTAAACAATAATAGTTTCCAATGTTACAAAAATACATAAATCAAAGTTCGGAGAAAAGATGCAAAACATAAAGCTGGCTCTCTCTTTTTTTATTTTAATAAAAGCTGCGAGACAGTCCTCATCTCCATTAAAAAAATATAAAATATTTTTCAATCCTGATTGGCAATGAATGAAATCAATTAATGCATTCAAGCAAACAAATTGCTCAGTTTTATAATATGACACGAATAGATATAAAAATACGTATTTTTTCAGTCGCGGGCAGCGCTAGTTGTAAATGGTAGGTATACCATATCTATGTATATAACTAATCAATAAAAATATGGGATTTGCCTTACAAAAAGGGATTTCTGACAAGACAATTATAATTTTTCTATGTATTTTAACATTCTCAAAATGCAATAATACCTATTTGTCATTTTAAAAAAGTATTCAACGAAAACATAGTATACTATAGTAATATATTTATTACCGAATAATGTAACATTACACATATCTCAGTAGTTTTTAAAGTTATATTTACTTTAAAAAATTATGTACTTTTAATGATAATAAAGGAAAAAAGAAAAAAAAGAAAAACATATTTAAAAAAAAACTTTTACGTTTTTAATGTATTTTTTTTAGTTAAACTGTAACTGTTTACATCCAACACTTGTATTTAAAGTCTGTAGCGGACAGCTGATCGGAATATCTAAACAGACCCAACGCCATTAGGAGTTCGCTCCGCGGGTTCGAAAACTTTGAAATTGAAACAAAATTGTAACAAAATATAGAATTTCATTAAAATATTTTAATTAAATTATTAATTGTTTTGTTAAAATTATTTAATTTTGCTGTATTCATTTAATTAATATAAAAAAAATTACATATAAAACGAAGTGTTCCTTTTTACTACACGCAACTCATATGTCGTACTCCTTCTTTCTTGTACAGAAATGAATTCATTTAATTTTATTTTAATTTCCGTAGATTTAATAATATTTTAACTACTAGCTTGCTTCCCCATAAAAACTTTCATCCCCATTCTCACCCCTTTTAGGGATGATTTCCGGGATAAAAACTATTTCTCTTACTCACTTTTCATATTATGAGATTTAAAAAAATCTTATTAAAGTAAAAAAAAATTCTTTTAATTTTCTTTTATACAAAACTTCATGACAATGACGAACACAAAAAAAAGAATTATCCAATTTGGTGCAGTCGATCCGAAGTTATGCGTGTACATACATTTCGGTGATTCATTCTTATTTATATAGATTTCTTTCTGAAAGTGACAGAAGTTTGATCAAGGAACATAAGTATATACATCCATACTAATATTATAAATGTGAAAGTGTGTTTATTTGTTTGTTTGTTTTACTTTCATGTCGAAACGAAGTGACGGATTGACGTGATTTCTTGTGTGGAGATAGTTGGATGGGAGGTATGGAGAGTGACATAGGCTGCTTTTTACCGCAGGAGATAATCTCATTCCCAAGGCAAAACACGTTATGGTAAAAGCCAAAAGTTATTTGTGATCAGAATTACTTAAAATTTGGTATTAATGGTCTTCATTACATTTAAATAAATTAGTGTCTTAGAATTTTTCAAAATTCATCCAATAAGGGGGTAAAATAAGGGATGGAACTTTGCATGAAACCTACTTTTTCAGAGTTTTTTTGTTGTTTTAGCGCGAGCAAAGCCACGGGTTCTGCTAGTATAATAATAATTAGAAAGCTACTCTAGGCATAAGTGTATAAAAAAATAAGATTAAAATAACAAACTCAGTACAAACAGCTAGTTTTATAACTCAAAATTATGAATTTTAAAAGCAACTAACGAACTATATAAAAATATATTAATAAACTGTTCATATCGCTGCCTGCGTTTGAAAATTTGCCTTTCTCTTTGTAAAGTTTATTTTGAAATTTCATACCAAACAGTTTTAAACACCTTTTTAATTCAGAAAATAGCTTTAACATGAAATAATTTTGCATCCGCCGCAATAATATAGCCGCGAACTATCGACGAGGTATGAAAACTTTAAAAAAATAAATAATAACTGACTTCCAGGCATTAAAAAGTAAAAAATAACTAAACGGGGGTTTTCATTTATGCGGATATTTTCGAAGTCGGTGTGCTTTGATTTGTATCAGCTGGCACCGACTTCGAAAATATCTGATTAGGTATCTATTCTAAATGAAAACCCACGCTTAGTTATTTTTTACTTTTTAGTGCCTGGAAGTCGGTTATTTTTTTTTAAGTTTTTATTTTCCCATTTTTAGTGTAGACGTAATAAGCAGGTAATTTGTAAAAATAGATTTTTTTTTAATAACATATTCGATTAAGCCATTTATTTAAAAATATATTATTGTTGATTTTTTAAAAACCTGTTCGACCGATTTCAATAAAATTTAAATGGCAACACCTGGGAAGTACATATATATTCTTTAAAACAAAAAAAGAATTTTCTAAATCAATTCAGGCGTCTTCGAGTAATTGATGAGCATACACAAAAAAATACATACAGACGAACATAGAACGTCCTTTTTGGAAGTTGGTCAAAAATTAGATTTATTTCTCGAATATCTCTTACGTTCTGAATATTCTCAACTATTTTACTAATAATAATATTTTTTTCTATGGTCTATAGATTGTACTATGTATTTTTTTAAGTCTGACAAAATAACTGCATACCTACGAGTATTATACCATATGACGGATTTTGGAATAAGATAATTAATTATCATTAAAATCAAAAATTAAAAAAAAAGTAACAATTATAATAAATCATTGAAGATATGTAGTGAATTTTTTGTGAGGGTGCTCACAAAAAATGGTTATTATACAACTTTAGTTCTAGCTATTAACGTCATTTTTGTCTAATTTTCCCTATTATTTTCCATTATTTTATCATGACTTATACAGTGGGCGTTATACGGGAAATGTCGGTTTAAATAAAGAAAAGTTGTTGCAAAGTTGTATTTCAAATTAACAATAATCACTTTGTACATAGTTACACAGCACTTCACTATACTCGCGGTTGTATACGAAAGCGGTCCCGTGGCGTCCCACATGGCGGCATAAAAAGAAGCACTTCACTATACAGCCATATAGCACTTCACTTCACTATTAACACGTATAGACAATACGGAACGCAAGACAGTTTCTACAAGTGTCACGACGTAGACTGTCGAGCCCAAAAAGATGGCGCTCGCGTTCCGATTAGTTGTGATTACGCCTCGTCTCCGACATATTTATATTGTGTATACATATTATGTATATAGATAAACTCGAACGAAGCCGCACGCAAATACTAGTTTAATTATAAAATATTAAGTAGATTTTTTGGAAAATCTTATTAAAATAGATATTATTTTCGATACAGAGGCCGAAACAATAGTTTTTAGAAATTTTGTCTGTCTGTCTGTCTGATACCGCATCACGGAAAACCACTGGAGGGATTTTGATGAAATTTGGTATGGTGATAGCTGGTTATCCGGGTCAACATATAGGATACTTTTTACCGCGGAAAAATATGTTCTTTCTGGGAAAAAATATAAAAACTGCAATGTAAGAGTATACTAATATGTAAAACCTAAAATTTGGTTTTTGGGCATCTGAACGGGCCGCCGGAGCCGCGGGCAATGCTAGTAATTAATAAAAACAGAATTATAACACACTTATTATAAAAAATTTATAATTCTTTTGAGAAAATAAATATCTTAAAGCATAATAATTTGTGATTTCTCAGAGATTACTACTTCACAAGCGCTCAATGGGTTTCGTTGACTGAAGTATGCGTGGTGTGGCTCACGCGGGTGCAGAACTTGTCGGTAGTGTCTGTTTGCAAAAGTCCCATGTGGTACTGTCAAGAGGTTAGTATTTTATAACAGTTTTAGGGACTCGTTTATAATTTATATAAAAAATATTTGGTAAGCTGAAGTACCTAATTCAAATCATTATATTAGATATGTATTTGTGTATGTAGTAGTATATACATATGTTATGGTATATAGTACTTATAATGTTTTATTATATGTATATATTATTATATATTAATTTAAGTATTTATATTTGAGTAACTGTAGGTACTTTAGCCTGCTTTTTAATACTATCTCTCCAACTCATTTAGGTTGACTGGAAGAGATCTCTTCTAGAGATAAGTCCACCGTTGCTAACTAATTTTATTGTTTGTTTGTTTGTTTGTTTTTACATATAAGTGCAAAGTATATCATTAAGTATCCCGAATCTAGATCTACTAGATCTAGATTACTTTTCGTAGTGCTTCAATTTCACTATCACACTACTCCGTGTAATGTATGTACGTACATACATAAATGCAAAAGCGAAAAGATATAAAGGAAAATTATATGTGTGTATATGTTTGCTACTCCTTCATGGTAAAACGGCTGGACGAATTTAGATGAAATTTAGTACACAGATAATGTATGACCTGGAGTAGTCTCTAGTTGGTAATAATATTTGCTAAAGGTTGAATTGTCTGTATTTAATAAATAGGTAGGCACTTAGGAATGTAGTTGGTCGTAGTTATTGTTCTTTTTTACATATCTTTGAGAAATTTAAATCTATTTATATTTTACGTAAAAATAGTAAACTACACGAGTAAACGTAAAGAACAAGTTCGTGAGTATTTTTAAAAAGAAGTATTTTTTTACTTTTATTACAACCAACATCACAGAGTTCTTGCTACAATCAAAATGGCTTTTAAAGCTTTAGAGCACATAGTTTCTTGTCACGTACGACTGAAAGTCACAGTGCATTAAACATTAAGCATGTGCATTAGTATACGGAAGTGTTTGATCTCAAATAGGAGATAAAACAATACTAAGAGTATAAAAATTCATTATATTTCGATTATTTTAATCAATTGTATTATATTACTAGCGACTCAACCTCGCTTCGCTCGGGTTCGCCCCTAGGTACGTTTTAATTTTTTTGAGCGGAACCCTAATTCTTTTAAAAAAATAAAAGTAGCCTTTGTTACCCTATAATATCAGCTATCTTCCAGTGAAAGTCCCGTCAAAATCAGTTCAGCCGTATCAGAGATTATCCGGAACATACAGACAGACAGAGAGACAGGCAAAAATTAAAAATAAATCTTTTAAATACCGTATATATGATTTCATATGCATTTAGTAAAATGCTGTTATTTTGACATTACAAAAAGACACTTCAATTTAATTTTTCTATCTAGATGATATATGTATATAACTAACTACGAGTAATATTTTTTAACATGAGCGCACATCATCGATCAAACAAGTACTAGATACAGAATCCCATGCAAAAGTTCACTTAAAACTGTCACCAATTGTGTTTAGGTAATTATTCTAGTTGAAATAAATACACAACAATATAAATTGAACCTTAAGTACAATGCTTAAAGTTGTTTTAACAAAAAAAATTAATAGCACGCTCAAATATCCAAGTGAGTGCTCATTCGATGAGGACATTTTTTGTCGCTGATTGTGTATCCTAGTACTTTTTTGATCGATGACACTCATACACTATCGCATTTTTTAATAGTTATTAAATTTAACCCTTTCATAATAGGTGTACAGAATATTCTCCGGGACAGAAGGGTGGGTGGAATCTGCACCAACACCCTTATGGTCGTCTGGAGGCGGTGCCTTAGTGACCCTTGCGCCAGTACGTGATGGACCGGCCGGACTCTTCCGTCATGTAGTGCGAGCGGAACACAACTCACACGGTCCACGAGCTTTGCCTCTCACTCATGGAAGCTTTGATGTTGTAAAGCTTTTGGCATGGGATCATGGAAATCAACACATGTGAGTTATTTCATATATTAACTAGAGTGGCACCTTCCTTCCAATCGAATTTTTATTATGTTAAAATTAGATAGAGTTAAAGCTATTCAATTAGAAAGTAACATCAATTATAATAAATTAGAAAGGAAAATCAATGGTTTACGGGTGATTAACCTATTAACAACCAAATATCTTCAAACTTTTATTTTTTTATTTATTTCTAGATACTTGTATGAACATATTTCCGTAAGAAAAAAGCAAATATAAATATTATTATATAAGTATGAAAAACACATCTGAAACCCCAATCTTTAAATACTACAATATTAAAAAACGATTTCCTTTATCCAAATAAAATTAAGTGCAGCTCTATCGAAATAGATATTTATTGTACCTTATCGGTGAGTTAAAACTATGCATGAGTTAAATTAATAAATAAATTATATGGAAACGGTTACAAAGCTCACAAGTATTTTTGATAAATTATTCTAAATATTTTTTAACTTTATATATGTATTTGCATAGTATACATATAATAGATGTCATAAAATTATGATGATCATCATGCACCTGTTTTAAATACAATTTTGAAGGCGCAACCATGGTGGTGTCTTACCATTTACGCTAAGACAACGCTTTTACTTATAATACTTACCTTAATAAGTATTAATAAGTAGAACCATTAGTTTTATATATTAAACGAGCAATTCTGTTTATATAGATTCGTAAGAAATGAGATATTTTCCCTCGGTAAAAAGAATCCCATACTCGTGTACCCGGATAGTCAGGTTTCATTATACAAAATTTCATCAAATTCTGCCCAGTGGTTTTCTCGTGATGCGTTCTCAGACAGACAGATAGACAAAAATTCTAAAAAACTATAGATTCAGCTTGTATATCGATAGTAATGACTATTGCAATAAGATTTTCCAAAAAATATTTAATGTACAGATTCGGCTCAGTTAGAATTTTATTATTTGTATAGATTTTGTGTATTTCGGAAACGATATAATATGATGATTATTGATATCTGACGATTTGGAATAAATTATTATACAACTATAGATGACTTGGTCATCGAACGGAAACATAATCACTATTTTAAGTAGTCCTAATTGAACATAGCGCTAGCTTGTCAAAATACTAATACACAAATGAATAATATAAATAATAGATTAAATAACTTGGTTTTACATTAGATGTCACAAGTGTTTGAGGTAGAAAAACTGCGTTGCGAGACTTACATTTTTTTATATGTCATATTTTTATAAGGTAAAGTTTTGCTTTTTAAGACTTTTCTAAAAAAAATCGCAATTTATATATTTTAATATAAAGTTTGGTCGCCCATATACTAGGTAGTATAACAATAAGAAATCATTTTATTTCATTATATACAATCAGAAAATAAAAGTTTTATATTAATAAAATGATAACTTAAATAAATTTAAGAATATTTTTGAACTATTTTGTTCAAAAAAGTTTTTAATTTATTAACTTATTTTGTGTACTTACCTTTATTTTTTAAGTATAAATGACTAAATATATGTTAAATAATAAGATTGTTTTCAGCTACTATTTAGGTATACCAGAAGGAAAGCCAGGGCAGCAACATTTATACAGAGTGTCGTCAGAAGCACCCCGTCCCGGCACGCCTCAGAAATTGCCATACTGCGTTACATGTAATTCTCAAGTATGTTGAAAGTATTTTAATCCGTATTATTTATATTTAATATTATAAATGTTAAAGTTTGTGAGTATGTATGGATGTTTGTTACTCTTTCACGCCAGAACGGCTGAACGGATCTGGATAAAAGGCACAGATATAGATTATAGTCTGGAATAAGACACAGGCTACTTTTTATCTCGGAAAAATGTACGGGGCCCGTGGGCTAAGTTTGATTCATAATCATAAAATTAAATTAAAATAATGATTGGTAATATTCTCGCTTGGAAATCCAAGTGAAATGGATTCGAAACCAAATCTCGTATGGCGTTTTTCATCTGCGAATAATTTTCAAAATAATTACCACTTTCTAGTATGGTGAAGGAAAACATCGTGACGAAACTAGAGCATCTTAGAGCACCTAACTAGTTAAGAGATTATATACGTACAATATATACACACATACATACAAAAACATACATACAAAAAATGAAAATACTAAAAATATTCAAAAATAAAATGGGCTCCTATTGATTAACTCTTTTTCGAATGTATCATTGCTAGGTACGAACCCAATGCGAAATATCGAAGTATAGTCCACCACGCTAGCCAAAGAGAGTTGGTTGGCGGACTTCACCGATATTTCTTTCACAGATATAGTGATTAAATGCCAAATCATGAAATGGTGACGTTCTAAAAAGCCTAATTTAACGATCAGACTTCAATATAAATATATTACGTACATTAGACAGTATAATTATTTCTCCCTAGCCATCCCCATCGATTAATCTGGAGTTCTACGGTAACTTGGCGTCATCCGGTGACAGCGGATGGGATACAGATTGGGATGAAGAGTTGCCGGTCACTTCTCCCGCTCCCTCGAAGAAGAAGAAGAAAAAACAACCTGGTACGTAAAACACTATATGAAACTAAGATCAAACTTAACTATATAAAGCAAGCAGTAGTATATATTTTGGTTAAAATATACTTAACTGATTTAAATGTTACCTCTTTTTTTCTATTTTTTTACAAATATATGATTGCCAACAATAATCATGGCCACAATTGAATTTCCCTAATTTATATGTACTCGTAACTTACTTGAATTCCTCAGTCAAATCGAACTCAGCGTTCCCATAATTGTTTCGTTAATAGACATTAAATACAAAGACAAATTAGTTTAAAAATGACTCGCTATGAAATCGAATCGACGATCTTCGACTTTTCAACTAGTATTGCATTACAGATGCAGTAGCTAGTCGTATAAAAAAGACATATCTAAACTATGTAAACGCTCCATCAAATCTAGAGTCTAGACACGTACACCGTTCCAGGACACTTGTATTGAAGTGCCGTGTTCCACGAATTGTGTGAAAAATGCTAAACAGTAAACATGCAATCCCTTGATAGATCATTATAAGCAATGGCAGAATTGCAATTGGAATACTTATAAATGCAAAAGTTTGTATGTGTGTATGTTTGTGTCATTCACGTTGAAAGGGGTGGACGGATTTTGATGAAAAGTACACAAATGGAGTACCTGGAGTACCACATAGGCTATTGTTATGTACCTTAAGGACGCGCCTTGAGAATGTTAGGATGCACACTAGCCAAGCAAGGATAAATCACGAGTATTATTATATTTCTTACGAGCGACACACCTTCGCTTCCTTTGGGTGCGTCCCTAGATGCCTGATTAACAGTAAGCTAAATGTTATAAAAGTACGTTATTTTTTTATTTTTTTAAGAATGACAGATCTCGTTTAAGCCCCAGTTTCTGTTTTATTTAATTATTTTTTTTAAATTAAGAAAGAATCGTTTGAGCTGACGATTGCCGTTCAATTTTATTATATAAAAATATATAAATATTTTATGTTTGTAAGACATTTAGTGAAGAATAAAGCTAAATCAAAAATCTAGAACGATTTGACTTTTTTTATTGTACAGTAGTGACTCAAAAAACATACTAGTTTTTTTAATCCAATTCAATGATGCTGTTAGAACTCTGCGTACTGCGCGCTACCGTATTTATATTTTATATGTCGCCCTCCAAAAGAACAAACAAGAAACATTCGATTTCAGTCAGCCTGTTAGCTCATTATAAGATTCTGCTAAAAAGCAGACATCAGAGCTTACTTTTAGATGAAATATCGTTCTACAATCATTGAAGAATATAAATCTTAAAATATATATATACATATAATGACATATATTAAAATTATTTCAACACAATTTAAAAAGTCTCCTTTTAAAGATTGTAAAATGATATTAGAGAAGTCCTACTTATTATAATCAATAAAAGAAGAAGGATGATATAAATCACAAGGACGTCTGAGTAGACACTTTATTTATAACTAAAAGAATAAAATATTTAATTGTTACAGTTTACTGTTACTGTTCTTTCATTTTAATCAAGTTATAATGAAGTTTAAAATAATATGCCCCAAAATCAAACAATGAATTTACCTCTAAATGTGCGTTCAACTTTTGGCGTATGTAAAAAGTTGAAAGTTTCCCTAAAGAACTTTTTAGGGAGCTTTTCACAAAAATGTCGTTTTTGAGTATATATGAAGTTAAAAAAAACCATTTTCAACTTCCTTTTCATCGGAATGTGATTTTTTTCTCCTAAAACTAGACACTGAATATTGTTTCTCGGTAGTAAATTACATTTATTAAACTTATTCAAATATGTTTAATTGTACTGTAATTAGCCATAACACATTTAAATATATTTAATTAATATTTCTATAACAATGTATAAGAGTTTTTATAGATACATAAGAGTTTTTGCATATCAATAAGTTATACACACGTTCTGCTACGAGAATGCTACGAATAAATCTTGTCTTACAAATTAACTAAGAATAGAATTAGAAGAATGTAAAATGTGCAAAAATAATATTTTATTTATTTTTCTCTAAAAGTAGTCTGTAATTTTTGTTATCAGTTTTGAGTTTACATAATCGCATGTAATGTCCCCGAATCAGGTAAAAATTTCGTCAATAATTTCTTCTCGGGTGATAACTCGTAAAATGTTTCAAAGAGTTGTATCTGTATATAATATGTATATGAATATGTATGTTTATATGTATATGAAGCCTCGTGAACGTCAGCTGCGGCTCTGAGGGTGGGTTGGTCAGCGTTAGCCTCCCACGCTTATAGATTTTTTTTAATTATTTCTTCCCGATTGAAAAATAAAATTATGCCTAACCCAATATCTTAAAGAAAAAAAAAGCCAGCTGACTGTATTATTTCATTTTTGCAGCTATATGATTTCACTGCCACTCTCGCTTCGCTCGGATTCGTGCCTAGCTTGGTTCCCAATACAAACTTTCATCCCCTTAAGGGATGATTTCCGGAATAAAAAGTATCCTATGTCCTTCCCAGGGTCTTAAACTATCTTCTTACCAAATTTCATCAAATCGGCTTAGTAGATCCAAAGATTACCCCTTCAACGTCACAAACTCACAAACTTTACCTCTTTATAATACCTATTAGTATAGATAATTATATATAATTATACATTAGCTGGTGACACGAACATGAAAATATGAGATTTCTTCTCAATTGAAAATATATCAGGTAACAATTTATATTATTGTGAATAAATAGAATGTCAGCTGGCAGGGCTGTATCTAGGTGGGAATGTTGTCAGCTGATGCCCTGATGAGTGTAATGCCGGAGCCAGACGGGAGCATCTATCTCCTATTTGAATACACCAGATGACGAATTTTCTCTCAGCATACTGCTAGCTGATTTCTTTTATTACTTATAGGATCATATTAATATTAATCAGCTTACAAATTTTCATCTGGGAGGAAATCTATACATATAATATAATTGTAACTAAGCCGAATCTGTACATTTAATATTTTTTGGAAAATCTTATTGTAATAAACATTGTTATCGATACAGACGCCGAATCTATAGTTTTTAGTAATTTTGTCTGTGTGTCTGTCTGTTACCGCATCACAGAAAAACCACTGGAGGGATTTAGATGAAATTTGGTATGATGATAGCTGGTTATCCGAGTCAACATATAGAATACTTTTTACTGCGGGAAAATATCTCATTTCTGAGAAAAAAATTAAAAAACTGCAATGTAAGAGTATACTAATATGTAAAACATAAGAATTTGGTTTTTGGTCATCTGAACGCGGGCGGAGCCGCAGGCAATGCTAGTGATGTATATAAGCCCTCCTTGTACTAACTGAAAGATGTAAATTTATTATTTCTGATTGTTAATATGTTATTTGATCGTATAAGTAATCCTATAAGTAATAAGTAATCTTACTTTACCAATTTCAGAATTAATTTCTTTAAAAACCGAAGATTGTAGAACAGATGTAGCTACGTTTGATCTCAAACAGAACTTTACTGCGCTGCTAAACTAAAGATTATAATCTATTAACTACTTATCAGAAGTTCTATGAAATCTAGAACTTTCCAATTTCTTCCATATAACTTAAAGTAAGACACAGTTTGAGGTCAGAGCGGTAATTTTATTTTTGTATGAAGCATTAGATTTTTAATAAGCCAATTTTGATTTAACTTTAAAGAAATATGATTAAACAATGACTTTTTAAAGGAGCAAAGCAAGTTGCTTATGATTAATATGTATTTAAATGAGCTTTATAGAAGAGACATCTCAGTAAAATTTATACGAGAAATCTGCCATTATAAAATTATTTAATTTTCTGAGTAGATACTACGAAAAAACTGAGATCAACCCGATCAAATTCTTATCGGTATTTACTAAACTATTTAATAAACTATTTAGTTTTATTAAAATGTCAAATATTCGCATAAATAGACCTAAGAAAATATGTGAACTCAGCAAAAGTCAATTTATTCTAACCACTAGCATTGCCCGCAGCTCCGCCCGCGTTCAGATGACCAAAAACCAAATTCTTAGGTTTTACATATTAGTATACTCTTTCATTGCAGTTTTTGCATTTTTTCTCAGAAATGATTTTTCGCGGTTAAAAGTATCCTATATGTCGACCCGGATAACCAGCTATTACCATACCAAATTTCATCAAAATCCCTCCAGTGGTTTTTCTGTGATGCGGTAACAGACAGACAGACAAAAATTCTAAAAACTATAGATTCGGTCTCCGTATCGATAATAATGTTTATTTCAATAAGATTTTCCAAAAAATATCTAATGTACAGATTCAACTTAGTTACAATTTTATTATATGTATAGAATATTCTGCACCAACATACCAAAAAATGCAAACTGCAAATTCTACTACAACGATAAAGTATGAGTACATACTCGGAACCATTATGACGGTTTTATCACTGACTGCAGCTTTATTTATACTTTACTTACTGTACCTTTCTTCATATTATGATGATGATGTTCTCCTGACCGATTCCGGCCACGGCGGCCAATCTCATTGAGACTAGCCAACTGCGCAGGAGATATTATAGTGCACAAGTGTACGCGCAGACACAAATGCACTCTCTATTCCTGTCACTGTCATACTCTGGTGGGACGACCACTCGACACGACCAGTGAGAGCTAAGGCGCAGGACCGACGGCTTTACGTGCACTCCGAGGCACGGGGGTGAAACACCGCCAACTTCCCAACACCGGGCTGTTACTGAGGCTTATTATACAGAAGGACTCAATAACTAAACTTGGTCCGACCCGGGACTCGAACCCAGGACCTCCGGGTGTGCAGCCGTACATGCTAGCCACTACACCACCGAGGCAGCTGAATTCTTCATATTATATTACCCTTATTTATACCGTTACTTTACGGTAAGACAAACATTTTATCGTAAAACATTAGGGTTTCGTGGCATATTACTTTTTTTATTTTTTTTTCCGCCTTATTAAAAATGACGTGCCGTTTCAAATAACAATTTATTAGTAAAGAACTCAGTGTAAATTAAATAAAAAGTTGCGTGACGGTCACCCATGCATTATTAAATAAATAGAAATTTAAAAAATCAATTTTCATGTGTTGAGTATATTTGTTTCCCAATGTTTTGAATGCTTTACAGCAATCATAGTATCGGAAGAAACTAAAAGGTTTGATGTCACAATTATCATAGTTGTTACAGACGGTGTTTACCCGCAAATTAAATTATTATAAATTAAATTTTGGCGTAAAGGTAATTTCCATGAAAATTGCTCACGCTTAACAAAAACGCGTAAACATTCATAAAAGTTACAACCAACAAACACCCGAATTGAGTGATTTCTCCTTTTAGTAGTATAGTAATATCTAACAATATATTCTTTACTATAATAAACAGTGAGTAAAATAAGACTCGTCTGCTCTTGAGGAAGGTCACTGATCTATTTACTAGATCTAGATTCATATATATTTAGGCTGTCTGCGCAGAATAGCCATGCTTAATTACTTATTTCGATAATATTATCAAACCTATTATTGTAATATTATAAATGGAAATAACCTTCTGCATGGTTTTCTCTAAAATAGAACCTTTGAACCTTCATAACGAATTAAATTAGGTTCATATGAAATTTAGTATGGGGATAAAAATGAACATACAACGATGTTGAGAAAAATGTTTTACTTACATGTATTAATAGAAAATTTAAAAGAAGAAATTTCGATAATTAAATAATTAAGTTCTAACTAAGCGAAATTAAATATCAGTAATACGCACGAAATCTGTTAGACAGACCAACAAGCAGGTGAAAGCTTTTAAAACTTTAGTTTTACCCTCGATTTCAAATAAAAGGTACGGTATTATGTACACAAATTCTCTACAACTGCATCATATATACTCGTATATATTATGATATACGAGTATATGTATATGTAGGTATATTTGGCTAAATTTTGAACACTTTACCACCTGATCTAATTTATAAATATTTAAGTATGCTTTCACAAACTCGTTTGAATCCCTAATTCCTTAGAATACCTGGGGCTTTGCACAGTAATATCCATCCATAAAATGGATTATCCTTTTGTGAAATAATGCCTGAATAAGATGAGAATTGCTTTCTAAAATTATTTGAACTTAAACCTTTGTTATATGCGTATCCAACTGCCTCGGTGGTGGAGTGGCTAGCATGTACGCCTGCACATCCGGAGGTCCTGGCTTCGAGTCGCGGGTCGGGCCAAGTTTAGTTATTGAGTCTTTTTGTTTAGTAAGTCTCAGTAATAGCCCGGAGTTGGGATGTTGGCGGTGTTTTACCCCCGTGCCTCGGACAGTACGTAAAGCCGGCATCCTGCGCCTTAACTCTCACTGGTCATGTCGAGTAGTTGTCCCACCGGAGTATGAGAGTGACAGGAATAGAGAGTGCACTTGTGTCTGCGCGTACACTTGTGCACTATAATATCTCCTGCGCAGTTGGCTAGTCTCAATGAGATTGGCCGCCGTGGACGGATTCGTTCAAGAGGACATTATATGCATACCTATTCCGTATCCACATCTCATCTTACATATACATTAAAACTATAACAGTACCAAAGTTATGGGTATTTTTTTGGGAAAACATACAAATATATGAATTGTGTAGAGCATGTACTAGAAACCATTTGGTTAGTTTAAAAATATATCGTTAATATGTTAATTTAAAAAGTTTATTTTTATTTTAATCCACTGCGTTGTTTAAAATGTATTACACAGTGGCGAATATAATATTTCTATTAAATACGTATACAAGCGAGCAAACCCGTGGGCATAAACGAGTATATCAACTAAGCTAATAAGAAGTAGTCACAGTCAAACTGCAGTTTCAAACTAGAGCGAATTTCATATACCCGAATAGCATCTGTACTATTGTACGTAGATGCATAAATTGCATTAGCACCTCGAGTGTTATGCGCTCAGAACTCACTAATGAAATTTTCGACCTATGTATGCCAGATGGTATATTACGTTTTCAAATATACACAAAAAATTTCAAAACGAATTTCTGCTTCAATAGACTTATAGATAGAGTTAAATGCCTCGTTGGACTAGTGGCTAGCATGTGTGACTGTACATCTGAAAATCCTAGGTTCGAATTCCGGATCGAGAAAAGTATAGTTATTGGCTTTTTCTGTTAACAAATATTCAGCAACAGGCTGGAGTTGGGAAGTTGGGTATTTCAAGTCGGAGAGAACGTGAAGCCATCGGTCCTAAACCTGATTTATCACCGGCCGCATCGAGTTGTAAAGGTCGAAGAGAATACAATGTGCAGAGAATGTTTGTGTATATACACACTTGTGTATAATATCTTCTGCATATATGGCTAGTCTCAGTGAGATTGGCCGCCGTGGCCATATATACAATCTATATTAATATTATAAATAGGTAAAGTTTGTGAGTTTGTGGGTTTGTGAGTTTGTGACGTTGTAGGGGGTAATCTCTGGATCTACTGAACCGATTTAGATGAAATTTGGTAAGAAGATAGTTCGAGACCCTGATATGGACATAGGATACTTTTTATCCCAGAAATCATCCTTTAAGGGAGTGAAAATGGGGATGAAAGTTTGCATGGGGAATCAACCTAGGGACGAACCCGAGCGAAGCGAGGGTGAATCGCTAGTCTTTTCATAAAACTTTTCTTGTTAGTGTAGACAGAAGCGATATAAAAATCTAGCTATAGCCTCTATCATTTTCCAGGCCATAAACTGTCTCAAGGCAAAAAATATCACCCAGTCCTACTTTTTGCGGTACAATGTATCGATACATTGTTCCACAAGAAAGAAGGACTAGATTTTTTAATCGATATCAAAAAAGAGTAAATGCTTCAAGATGTCATTTTTATGTAGGCTACATAAACAACACAAAAAAATGTCGTAAATTGTGAACTGGCTCTTTTTTTTAATATATATATATATATATATATATAATTTTTAGAGTGGTATACTACTTATAAAGAAATTTTGAACAGATATGTGTAGTAGTACGTAAAGTAATTTGAAAGACTGATATCAACATATATATGTACATGTTAAGATGTTTGTGATAAACAAATTTTACATACGTATGTATATTATTATGCTTGTACTTGCGCTTCATTTTGTAATATTATATACCTACTCGCTTTCAAACTTTTGCTTAGTCTTGTTGAAATAAATTTTATGTAGGTCATACGATTAACAAATCTCTAAGAGTCTAAACCATTATTATATTATAGTTATCTAGCGACTTCCCTCGCTTCACTCGGGCCTTATTAAGGCCTACAAATTTCTTGTACATTGTTTTGATGTATCTCTTAAGGTTTAGCCAGCGATAGATGTGTAAATTTCTAAGAACGACTAGATAGAACCAGCTATTGTGTTTTCCCGTATGAATTAAAGATTTTCCAGTAGTAAGAGGTATCCTAAATGTTGACCTGAGTAATAAGTTATCACAACACAAAATTTAGTTAAAATCGGTTCATTACTTTTTGCGTGAAACACACCTCCCACATAAATTGTAATACATTCTATTCACTTGGCTTCATGTCCGGCTGGATTGCCGGACACTAAGGACAACATATTTCTGGGAAGAACTTCCCGACACTTTGCTACTACTAAGAATTTCTTAACAGGACTCATGAGGAACTATAGTAATACATAAAGTGGGTACGCTAAATAAATTACTCGGTTAAATAAATTAATTATTGAATAAATTTATTTTATTAAATAGCTGAATTTGTTTATCCAACTGCGTAATAAAATATTAATTAATATTTTGCATAAAATATTACTTTATGTTTACAAAACTAAGAAAGTGTCACTGTCAAACTGATATTACTTCTGAAATCTAAACTTCAAATGTTAAGCCAACAGGTGCTATTTGCACTCATGCACGTTCCACCTCGGAAAGCTCTGTGTAATGAACTTCCGTAAATCAAAGTTTGATATCCACCAATATCCGGTTTTCGATAGGAATTGAAAAACTTCAACGACGAAATTTTAACAATAAATGCAAGTGTATTTGTAAATATTGATATTATTTTTCGCATATAAAAAGTTTAAGGGCTGGAGAGTTACAATTTTACACCGATAAATTTTCCAGTTTTCATGGAATAGTTTGATGCAAAACTATCTAGAAGCTTTTGGTTCACTCACTACACACACTTATGAATTTTGTGTATTCTTAATGCAAATATTTTATTTTATATACAGTTTACAAACTATCTCAACACAAGCATAGAATCGTGTTTTCGTGTGTACTCACTGCTGATACATTTTATCGTAAAGGATTGACGCACTAGAAACCTTTATTAATAATAATTATTACTATTTATATTTTAAATACGTTTGTTCATAGAAAATATACCACAAAATCTGCCGTGCTTGTACCACGACGCCCACTTCAGTCCATCATCTACGTACTTCGTCCTGGAGTGCCTGGGGCCCGGGGTGCCGACGTCGAGCCTACACAAAATATCTTTACCAGATCCACGGCTGTTGATGCATTTAGAAAACAATACTGCAGTGAAGGTAACACAATTAATCTTTATTGGGCTTAACAATAAATACAATTTTTGTTTGATTATGCATATTTCAAACTCAAACTCAAAATATACTTTATTCAAATAGAATTGCAAGCAGGATATTTTTTGGGTCATTCCATGTAAATGAAACCAATGGTTTAATTTCAATTTAATGTTGATCGTTAATTTTGATCGTTGATTCGAAAAATAGTGATATTTTGAATTTTGCATAAGTTTGGAAAAAAATATTTTTTTCCTTTGGTAGAACTCGGTTGCTTCAACTTGGTTTTATGATAAAAGAAAACTTCCCACCCATCGAAATTGAAAGGGTCGATTTCAACTATTGGTCGATTTGATATGGAATGACCTTTTACATTTAAATATGAGTGTAACAAGTTTGTGAGGAATCTAAAGAAGACAGCAACTGTTTTGCTGAGAAGAGAGAATTAACTTGTTCATTTTCAATACTTGCTTTTCGCCATTTTCTTTCTCTCTTAATAAGCAAAACATGAGTTTTATAAGAATTACATGTCAACCCTCAGCCTCATGGTCCCGTGCACATTGTCGGCCGAGGGCCCTTATGATGGGTGTTTTGATCGGATATCAAAAAAGATTGTTACCTACATGTTATAGCATAGATTATAAATTCATTTAATTCTTTGTATAATATAACAAATGTTAATTATTTGTTTGATTAAAGCCAAAGCTTCTATATTCGTTAGTAATATTTGAATGATTTCAATCTGAATTCATGAATTGAATACTAATAAATATGTAACCGCTACAAAGTTGTATAGCAACGTTTTACTGGAAATTGTTAAATGAAAATAGCTTTTTATTATGAGAATAGATATTGCTACCAATAAATTTCATTTATTCCGTTTCTATAAAATCTCACAAAATCCAACAAAAATTGGCATCGTGTAAGCTCTATTTAAAGCATGATCGATATGCTTTGTGATTCTGAATTTTATACCTTTTGCGCAATTTTATTGTGGAACAATTTAAACTTTCGATGAATTGACGTTTTATAGGTTTGATTTTTATATTGTTTGATACAAACCACTTACACAAGGCACAATGATAGTAAAATTAGTCAAGTGCGAAGCGGGAGTACGCGTAAAGGTTCTGTAGGGTACTATAGAGTTTTTTAAAGTAATACTTCTTTTGGGACGTTTGGAAAAAAATATCAGAGTTAAATTTTTACGATGCGCGCGCCATCCAAACCGACAGCCAAAAAGTGACATGATGAAGTATGTATAGATTTCAAAATGATAACTATTGGGGTGTTACGGCACAATTGTTACGTGATATTGTTTAACTAATAACGGGGTTCAATTTCGACGTTGGCATAGTGATGTTTTAAGCAAATATTATACATGTGAAAGCTTTCGAGTGGTTTGACGGATTATGACTCAAATTGCGAATGGATATACATTATAATTTGAAAATCTGAAAGCAGCTTGATAAAGTTAGCTGCACTCCTTTTACGAACAGAGAGTTGTGACATACGGGATGACATCTTTAGCTACTTTTGTTCTGTTACGCCAAAGAAGTATAACTTCTTATGTGCGTACATAAGTACACACACGTTTTTTTATGAGTATGTCTTTCTTATCTTTATATGTATAAAATTCCTAAGCGGCTCGACTGATCATGATTTTATTGTGTACTTACGGGGTCACTCAGATGATTTTAGCTTAATCCAGTAGATGGCACTATTGTTTAGATTTAGATTATTTTTCAATTTTCCAAACCAACGTGGTCTATGGCAGAATAACTAAACTAAAGCTAAACAAACTAGAACTTTATGTTGAAAGTGTAAATATTTGAAATTCAGAATATTACCTACACTCGAATTGTTTCCAATATTTGTTATTTCACTTTAGAGTTTCTATAATAACAGAAAAATAATATTGCTATAGAATAAACATACGTTAAATAACAAAGGAAAACTGAAGTTTTGCATTGTTCGAATTTCAGTGATAAAATCCAAACTAATATTAATATTTATAAATGTGAAAGTGTGTTTGTTGGTCCTTCTTTCACGTCGAAACGGAACGACGGACTGTCACTCTCCAGCCCTCTAACTATCTCCACACAAAAAATCACACCTATCCGTCACTCCGTTTCGACGTGAAAGAAAGACAAACAAACAAACAAACAAACAAACGCTTTTTTTTATTTTAATAATATTTGTAATATGAGTATGGATGATCTACGGCAAATATTTTCAATACATAAGTTAAGACTTTGTTAAGAAATGTAATTTAAATTCGTATCCATATTAAAATGTATTAAGGAAACCTTTTCCTGAAAGAAAATCTTAGAATCGTAATATTCAAGTGTAAAGCGTAACGGATTTAGCACTTTCAATCTTTTTACTTCATAAAAGGAGAGCAGTAAGACCTTTCGAGAATAAAAGAATGTTATAACGTAAGTATAAGGACTAAAACATAACTAAAAGAAGGAAACTCTAGTTTTATCGGTTCTGGTCGGGGTATAAGTCTACTTGGAGGTACTAGGTTCGAATATTATTAACATATATTTGAATATTATAATAGGGAGACTCAATGCCATAGTCTTTTTGGGAAATGCATTTACGCACGAGGTGTGGGACTCACCGGCGTAATAAAGCCAGTACTACCAACTAAATTCAAACAAAACCTACCCCCGTCTTAATGGGGCGTCGCAGGATCGCTTACGCATTCATAGTAGCAATGCCATAGTCCTAGACTAAGTCTATATGGTTGGTAATAGGTAGTTTTGTAAAATAGAATATTTTGTAGATAATAAAACTATTTTAACGCCTATCCGAATCGATACTGAGCTTTATGTACATTATGTATAAACTTGCTTATTGTCCGGGGAAACCCCTGGGTTTATCGGGCTGTCATTGTAATTTTGACAACGTATTCCTGTAATGATATGGGCAACCCATAAGAAGGTTTTTTTTAATTAATTCCCTAATATGAACTCTTAACATGTTTTTTTTAATTTTCCGATAAGGTGTGATAAGCATAGTTAGTTAAATTTTTGATATTTATGTAATTTAGCATTTCAACATTTAGCAGACGTACAACATTTTTCCAGGTGAATCTGGGAAAATATCAGTATAAATGAAATTAATTTATGATTTTAATAAATCTGAAACAACAAAAGCTAAAAGGTATTTCCTTTTATACAGGAAAGGCTGTCAGTAATAGCGTTGCCGACGCCTAGAACTTTCTCGGTACAACTATCCAGTGGACAAGCGGCGAGGGTGAGGCTACTGTTGCCTCCTGGTCTAAGAGAGGATGAAGTTACTAAATATCCTTTGGTTATGAAGGTGTAAGTATTTTATGTCAATTATAAAAAGCTCGTATTGCATAAGTTGCACTAGATTAATTCTGCGGAATAACTAAATATTTCTATCAGGAAGACTGTCCAAAATGCTTGAATATACGCTGTTTGAGAATCTTTTTAAATACGTATTATCTTAAGTTCTGCAGAAAACGTAGAATAAATTTAATGAATTACTCTGCTTTTGTTGAAAAAGATATTTAGAAGATTTATTTAGAGAGGAGATTAAAAGCATTTTTTATATTTTTATTTACAGATTACCTAATGTACTTGTGTCACGAGTAGTAGATATTACGCCGTTATATAAAACATTAATTGGGATTTTCTAGCAGCAGTTCTTAGTAGTCGTCGTTGCGAATTTAGTCATATTACACTCCCGTGAGACTTAAGAGTTAAGACGATCTTTTCAAGCCTTATATATTCTATCTGCCTCGTTGGTCTAGTGGCTATCATGTATAACTGCAGATCGTGAGTCCTGAGTTCGAGTCCAAAGTTGGGTCAATTTAATTAATGGGTTTTTATGTCATTAAATGCCCAGTAGCGGCCCGGAGTTTGTCGGCGGTAAAAAAAACGCCGTGCCTGGCGCCTTATGACAGTCTATCGAATATTTGTAATTGGTATACATGTGAAGAACGATACTTTATAATAATATATTTATATAAATGTTGCATTTATAAATTAAATAAATAAAAAAGTTGGCCGTAACCGAAATCGAATAGGAATTCGATAAACTCTAGCAGATCTACAAAGTATTTTTTATCTTTTAATAGTTTTTCATCTCTTCAAATCCATTATAGTAACGGTGCTCCCGGCACCCAGTTAGTGACAGAGCAGTGGTCACTAGACTGGGGGTCGCTCGCGGCAGGCGCGGGCGCTATACTGGCGGCGGTGGACGCGCGCGGCGCGGGCGGGCGCGGGCTGGCCGCCCACCACACGCTGCACCGCCGCCTTGGTACTGTTGAGTTGAAGGACCAGCTAGAAGTTGCTGAGTGAGTCGATTTGGCATTTATTTACCTGATACTATAGCATGCTTTGTTTTCGTTTGTATTTCTTATATTTGTGTAGCTCACAAGATATGTTTGAACTAAAATTTTGTAAATACGACATGAATGATATTTACTTTTAAAAGGAAATACTGATACCAACTTTTTTTTGTCATTTAAACTGACTTAAAAAAGGTTTATTTTATATGTAGTAAGCCTATAGAAGAGCCTTTGATATTAAAAGATATTCATTTCTAAACCAAATTAACAAAATCGATTCATAACAACCGAATCACCACCCCAGTCAATAATGTTACGTAATGTAATGTTATGTAATTATTTTTTTATATATTTCATATTATTTTTAACATTAATGATAACATAGATATCTAACAATTATATAGCGGATAATAATATGTGGATTTGCAAATGTATGTATGTATGTCTAGATATTAGGCACATATGGCTACTCAAGAAACACTTTTATGGCGTAGAGACCCAGAATTTAAATTCTAGCCATCACCTGTAAAACTTTAACATAAGAGTACTTTTGGTATATTTAACGGTAATGTGAAGGACGTGTTACATCAATTATGCGACAGAACCTTCTCCTTTCTCATCTCGACTGACGCTTGCCGTTCCTTTCTTATATCACTACAAAAGTAAACATTTTCAGCAGGCCACTAAAATAGCGTTTTACTATTTGACTTTTTATTATTTGACTACATATTAAAAACAATCTTTCTATGGTCTTGATAATGTTGCATGAGAATAAATAAGCCAGTCTAAAAATATATAAAATCCTCAACTAAAGACCAAACAAAACCTGCTAAAGTTACTTAATTACTATTTAATTATATATTTATCAATATCATTATCATTATCATTGCTATTAATGTAAATGAATGAATTGTGAAATTTATATTTACAAAATAAAAACAAAATATATAGTCTCGTATTTTCTCACTCGTTTTATTTTATTACAACCATTTACCCATTTACTTTTTGATTATCTTTTGATCTAACACAAAACCTTTAATACAAGTAAACAAAAACAACATAAATATAATCTACCAATAATCTTATTAGATATCTCCGGGATTCCCTCCACTTCATAGACGCGCGTCGCGTGGCGGTGTGGGGCCGCGCGCACGGCGGCTTCCTCGCGACGCTCGCGCTCGCCAGCGACTTACGCGTGTTCCACTGCGGGATTGCCATCACGCCCATTATTAGGTGGCGATATTATGGTAAGAATTCGTTATAATCGAGTACTCAAACAATAAAATATAGGTTGATGTAGCTTTAATTTTCTCGTTATTATAATTAGTTTGATAACAATACTTTCTTTGTTGAAGTTAATTTTCAGATAAGTAAAAGCAGCAAGTTCTGAAGTTGAAAAGCAATACATAAGAGATCCAACTAAAACTGTACACAAATGTTTTCTATACATATTCGTATACAATAAAAACTATTACATAATGCTAAATAACATATTTCAACCCCGTTAAATTATTGTCTTAGTTTACATATAATACACTTTTATACATGTATTCCCTTTTATTAGCATCAGCATACTCAGAGCGCTACATGGGATTCCCCAACGCTACGGGGAACTACCGCGGGTATGCAGACGCTGACGTCACAAAGCAAGCGGCCGCACTCAATGACAAGATGCTGCTTCTAGTACACGGCACTGCTGACGACAACGTGCACGTGCAGCAGACGATGGCGTTAGCGAGGGCCCTCTCCGACCAGGGTAGCACTTTTAGACAGCAGGTTATTGTTTTATTATATTTTTAAAATTTTGAGAACAATTCGTAATAATTTCTTAACAGTAGCATAAAAATTTAAAAACCCCCGATTGCCTAAAAAGAAGGGAACAAGTGAAGGAAGTAACATAGCATTATGCAATTTGCAATCGGAGACACTGTGTACATAAATGTAGCAAGTATAAAACATCTATATTGCAAATTCAGTTGTCGAAAGCTAATTAAGCTAATAAATTAGACATTTATTATTATTATTTATAATATTAATCTCAATAAATACTTAATTTAACATACTATCCAGATTTACCCGGACGAAGGGCACAGCCTGTCCAACGTGCGCAAGCACCTGTACCGCACTATGTCGGCGTTCCTCGACGACTGCTTCCGCAAGCAGGTGCCGCCCGAGACCAAGGCCGGCCTGCGGAACGGCGGCAACCTCGACTGAGACACGTGGCGGGATGAGGAGTTGTACTCTTGGTAGTTAGACTATTATATACTAGCGACTCCCCCTCGCTTTGCTCGGTTTCGTCCCTAGGTTGCTTCCCCATATAAATTTTCATTCCCATTTTCACCCTCTTAAAGAGTAACTTCCGGAATAAAAACAATCCTATGTCCTTCCTAGGGTCTCAATCTATCTTTTTACCAAATTTCATCTAAATCGGTTCAGTAATTTCGGAGCCTATTCGGTACAAACAAACAAACAAACAAACAACAACAGATATATTATGACCTAGAGTAACAAATACTACTGCTAGGCACCTAGGGAAGTACCCAAGGGAAGCCAGGGTAAGTCGCTAATGTTATAATATTATATTATTATATTAAGAATTCACTATATCATAATGTAATATATGATATACATAATAACAAAATCAAGCAGGTATTCAAGATTATATTTGTCGAGTAAAACTTTGGTTATAAAAATTGATATGAGATTAATCGAACGTAGCACATAGAAAAATAAAATAATAATAACAATATCATGTCAACGTTTTATTAGAAGGTCTGATTTGTGTTGTATAATTACCAAAAACTTGCATAACCTTTAAGAAGTTCATTTATATAATTTTTCTTCTTCCACAGGTAACACAAGTAGAAACCACAGAAGGAGAATAATTTAAAATCTGTAGTACAATTATTTCCATATCCCATTCGATATTTTACTGCCAATGGACTATTTAAACACATCAAATATGTATGTGATACATAGATATAATGTTGAAGTGAATGGACGCGTGTACCTTGCTTCAATTATTTATTCTAACGCAGAATTATTTCGTGATATGTGTGTATGTGTGTGAGTACAGTAGTAAGAAACGCACAAAAACGCTTGAGTGAGACCGTGTTATTTTAACTTTATCGAAGAGAAAAGTTGAAAAATGATTTTAAATCTATCTAAAAAGTGTTGAGAGAATTCTTCTGACGATATAACAATTTTTACTATTTATAATTGACAATACTTCATGAACGATCAATGTTAAAATGTAATTGTATGCTGATTGTGGCGTCTTGTTATTAAATTTTTGATTAATAATAAATTATTCTAGTCATTTACAAAATTTCTTAAATAAAAAAGTTTAATTTACTACATTAATATATTCATATTTACTCACATATTTTCAGCAAAACAAAATTTAAATTAAATACTTTTTAAATATAGCGTCTTCTGCTTCATGGCCACACATTATATTGTAAACCGACAGGCAATGTAGACGTGAAAGCCCAATTTACCTTTGTTTTATTTCGCCCTCAAACAAATCTGAGACGCGTGTAAGTGACGTTATTGAAATACACGTACTATAGTTAGTTCTAAAGGAAAGTCACAATGAAGGTTTTAAGCTTCAAAAAGCCGACAAATAATCTTCAATTTCTTCAAAAATCTTTAATTTCTTTCTGAATTTAACATATGAATGAATGATATTCATGTGTGTAACTAAGTTAAATAATAAACAATGCAAATTTTTTACATCGTAGAATCAAAAATTAGTACAAAATATTACATATGGAAGACGTTTTCGTCATCAAAAACTACTGAAACACTTTTGAAATTCCATTTAAAATCATGCAAGATATGAACTTTTTAAGAAAATTGTTGGTAATATCTAGGAAAATCTAGAAATTATGTAGGAGTTCTAAAAAATCTGATAAGCTCAGCTACGCAGTTAATGAGACACTTTATTAGAAAGCAATTGGTTAAGAAAAGGTTTTCAACATTCAATTAGTAGGGAATAGGTCTGAATATAGTTCGATAACAGATTAACATCATCCCTTGATTTTTATATGTATATATTGATAACGGATAATCAATATTTAAAATATATATTTTTAATTTTCCCTTTCGGAATAGGCAAAGATCAAGCCTTAATACGAGTTATTTAATAAAGCGTCAATAACTAGTTTAAATGTCATTTTTTATATTGACTCATATATTTACGAGTACATTTAAGAATTTACTCAAAAGTCATAGATATGCAACATTTATTTTATTTGCCATGAATAAAAGTAGTAAAACTTAGTAAAGTTATGTAAACAATAATACATAGTTCTGTCGGCTTTTGACTACTTGATGAAATATTGATTTTGGAATTGTGTCGTTACTACATGAAATTTAATAAACTTAGATATTAATACTTTCTTCGATTTACGCGAATACTTGACATATTAAATAAAACTATCTTTTCAGATTTTTTCGCGAATTTATTTTGATTTTTGGTTCCCGACGTTTCGAATGCTTTACAGCATCATGGTCACGGGAGAGATTGAGGTGTTAGATGTCTCCAAGGTATTATATAGTTATTACAGCCAGCCTACCCACAAATAACAAAATGAATTCAAAAAATTTGAAAAATAAAATTGAATTCATTTTCTTATTTGTTAGATATTAAATTATATTATACATAAATATAAAACATTATTATGTTAAATATGCATGTAATGTTATTTGCCTCGCGCAAACGAGAAAAACATAATTTATTCAAAGTTAACCTAATTTATAATATTTTGATCCACCGTTAATTATTTAATATTGAAAATCAGATAATTTACACTTCGTGCGGAATGTAGTGAATAAACTATGTAAAACGCAAATCTCTGTTCTAGTGGCTATTAAAGGAATTGATAGCTATTCTTTAGTCAATGAGTTTTGTGATCTTAGGTGTTAAGTTGTTAAAGTAGGCGGTAGCGTGTTATTGCACCATTGTAGTGATGGGTTCATATAATATCGCTATTAAAGTCAAATGAAATTCTAGACAATATCTGGACTTTCGTTAAATTATTATAATTTTTTATAAATTGTATGTAAAGCACCGTTTAAACGTGGAATATTTTTCTTTTTATTAATTAAGTATATTTATTATGTTTATATGTTGCTTTAAATTAAGGATTGAAAAATGTATAATTAATTAAAATGACATTTCGAAAAGTAAAGTGTAATTTCTAAATGACAAATAATTGTACAGATGTAAAATAAATTTTAGATAATGTAGATTAATTAACGCCTTCCCACGTATCTTACGAAAATCTGCGGAAAATTTTAAATGTAACGTATTTTATAAAGAAATATTTATTTAAATATATATGAAGATATCATATTTCAGTTTTTACTGGACTATAATTATAGTTCATCAAAAGTATATAGTGTATTCTCTTTGTAAAAGTTCACAAATAAAAATATTAGACAATTGGTAGGCTAAATTAAATAAAAATCCTGTTTCAATGTCATCACTTTAAAACGAGTTAAATTTTCCATTAGATTTTGTAGGATACATATGTATTTATAGATTAAATATTTAATCGTTGAAAATTGCTCATTCTCGTTCTCAAATTTTGCATGTTTCTAGTCACTTCATTCGAACATTACCTACTTATAGTCGTTAAACATTAGTGAAGACCAATAGTATTAAAAATATTTTATTAAAATAAAATTTTAAATAGATTTGAACTTAGAAAAATTTAGTGCTTTAATAACCTAGTCACGAAATCGAATCGTGAATTTTAAGGCGAAAATAACTTTAATAGCAATAAATTTAGCAAACGTACCTCTTTTAATATTTAAGAAATCACTCTTCTTCCGTAGGCACCGATTTTTGAAATTTTAAAATTTTTATCCCAATCTAATATGATACCTAAATAAGCCATTTTCAATTATAAATAACTGCAAAGTTTTTTTTCATAACACCAATTACATATAAATAGTTTTAAGATTATCCATATTAAAATACTTAAGTTAAAGTGACAGTCTTCTATACTTATTAATGTAAGAAGGTAATTTTTTTTCTCCTTAGATCGACACTTAAATAGTTAATATACATTATTTTAACTATCATAATAAAAGTAAATAATCAACAATTTTCTTTGAATAAAAATTTTAAATTTTTCCAAAGCAAGCCGATATTTAAAACGTATCTATGAATAATAAATAATAGTTAATTATTGCTTTCATTTAATATATATAATAATCGATGATTAACTTTGGTTGATCAATTAAGACATTCATAAAGTGAGAAAGACCTAAGTGCCAAAGTGTCGATGTTTCTCGTAAATCGTAATTTTCATAATAAATTTAGAATAAGGTTTTAAAATATCTCATTCTATTTTCTTCGTTCATTTTTTTAGTATTTAACTCTTAAAATATGTTTTAAAATACTTTAATATTTTCCGTGAACTACATTCTATACATGGAAAAAAATCACGAAATACGTATCTAATACTTATATATATTCTGTGGTAAAATGAAAAGATATGATATGAAAATATTATTTTATTTAAGCTTGCATGAGACGAAACAATATAAGATATACATATTCAGTGGCTTGGTTAGAATAGGTGACACCCGTCTAAAAAACCATCTCAGTGACATCTCTAAAAAGTCCTTCCTTATATCAATAAATAATCATATAAAACATCTAAAATGTACATGTATGAAAATTATCTAATCATTTTTTCAATCTGGTGTCAGTTTAAACTGGTAGCGACTACAACTCTGCCGTCATAAAAAAGAAGGCTGCAACTTTGTCAAAGTTGATTTCGACATATTTGAAGTTTTGTCTTACTACTAAGTCAAAATTACTACTAGTTTTGACGTAGTTACGATGAAAATGGTTATAGTATCTCCAGATTCATATAATTAGAGCTTTATGAGTAAGATTATCAAGTAGCATTTTTTTTGCTGATTCCGAAATCTGCAGTTAAATAATTTTTGACAAAATTGTTACTTAGCGCCTTCTTTATTATGACGGCAGAATTGTTTTATAACATATCCATATCGGGAGACTCCTGAGTCCCGACTATGTCACTGAATATAGGTATATTTACTATATGTATAGTAAAACACATTTGAGAGTTAAATACTATGTATATTCCTTTTTTAACTGTCAATACGTCTTTAAAATTTTGCTTTTTCGATGTTTTTTTTTTAATTATATTGCTTAAATGCTTTTTAAC